CACACTCACACACACACACACACACACACACACACACACACACACACACACTCGCAGACACATACACACACACACACACTCGCACACACACTCGCGCACACACACGCGCGCGTACACACACAGAGACACACAACATCAAGGACACGTTAAATTGATCAACAGAGGCATTAAAGACATATAATGTTACAAAATATTTCTATGTCAAGGAAATACTGTTCTTAGGAGAAAAGTATCACTATTTTGTTGAGCAGAAAAACTTTGGATTACACTTTATTTCAAGGTGTCCTTGTTACAGTGTAATTATACATTTAAGTACTGCGTAATATTAATTAACTACATGTACTTACTATATGGTTAGGATTTGGTTTAGGGTTAATTGCATATAATTATGCATAATTAATTATTATAATAGTAAGTACATGTAACGTGTAACAAGGACACCTTAAAATAAAGTGTTACCAAGCTTTGTAACATTGATAAATGTTTCTTGAGCAGCAAGACTGGAGTCCATTTTAAATTACAGTTTAAGATACTAAAATGGAAAATGGTTCTGTTAAATTGTAATAATATTTCACAATATTACTGTGTATTTTTAGTGTATTAGTTATCAAATAAATGCAGCCTTGAGCTGAAGTGACCTTGTTTAATATTTTTTCAAAACCAAACTTTTGCATGGTAGTTTATGTAGTTCTTCGACTGAAAATAGAGTGTTTTAAGCTTTCTTTAAGAAGCAGAGAAGCGCTGAAAAACGCTGAACGCTTCTGTGTAGTAAAATGTTCCACGCTCCATTCTACCCTTGTAACTTATAAATATTCTACACCTTTGTTTTATTAATGGGAAGTCATAGACCAAATCAAATTTTTTTTGTTTGTATTTTTTGTTTTTTTTAAAGATGATCCTGATGCCATTTTATCATCAAAAGCTAATTAACTTAACTTAGCCTTTACGTCTGTTAGTGAGTTTACTGATCACAGATATGCAGCGGTAGAAGATGGATTGGGTTTTTAGGTCACTTGAAATTCAAAATGGAAATTAATTCTAACAAACAGCACACACTCTGCTCTCTCTGTCTGTTTTTGTGTAGTCTGAAGCATCTCATAGATGTTGAACACTCTTAACAACTAAGTTTATACTTCTCATGAATGAACAATTCTCTTATGAAATGGTATTTTGTGAGATCGACTGTCTAATTGCAAGCAAAACAGGTCAAAGACGAGGGTTCGCCGGGCTCGGCACAGCTCTAACTCAGAAACCAACCCTCTGCAGGCTTGCCGTTTATTGTATTTCTAAAGAAATGAGCAAATATGATTTGGAAGAGCTTGGGAATACTGTCTAAAATGACAGATGTTTTGCAGTGTCATGTGACTTTCTGGCCGTAGTTTCTTCATCAGCTTATTTGCTCGTTTCTTAGATGTTACAGCTGTATCTCAGTATAGACGTGTGTGGCAGCACGAGCATGTGATTGAGACGGTGTAATTGTGTGTGTGTGTGTGTGTGTGTGTGTGTGTGTGTGTGCACGCACGCAGGGCAGTCATGTGCAGACGAAGGTCGGTCTCCTCATGTTGCTCTGCACCTGGATCAGTAACTGTCCAATCGCTGTCATGCACTTCCTGCACAATCAAGACAACGTTCCCTTTGTATCCTTCTATCTACACACACACACATACACACACACTCTCTCACACACACACACTCACTCACTCACTCACGCACGCTCACACACACACACACACACACACACACACACACACACAC